GAATACAATAGCGAGGGGAGAAGGTTGACGTAGACCATCAGAAAACAATATCTTCATTTTCAATAAGAAAGCGTTTGGAATCGGCCGCACTGGTAATTTTGGCATCGGGGTCAATGTATAGCCACCTAACTCGATCTCCTTGAATTAACTCGTGTCACGATCGATTCATTATGACACCGGATAGCGTTCTGAGTTTTTCTTAATTCTTCTCCGCGAAATAATCTCGTCAATAATTCCATCTACCTAGGTCAATCGTCGGTTCGATTTTTTTCTCGAAATTGAGTGACGTTATTGAGTCATATAGCTAACTTTATCGGGATGAATGTTGTTTTCCATGATGGTGCAACAGAGAACTCATGTCAATAAATTAAATATCCGCGTATAATTTGCACGAATAATCATCAAAAAAATCGTCACGCACACTTTGCGTAATATCTGGCCGTTATATCTGATCAGTTACAGTCATCGGTCCGTTTCAGTACCATATAAGGAAAATGTAGGTAAGGGTCCCTCAGTAGCCTTGACTCATATACAGCTGGGTCTCTCCGAGCACTTGCTCGAGTATGCTCGCCCGAGTATACGCTTTTTAAACTGATCGTTCGAAGAGGTCAATAAATAAAACGCATACAAGCGTTTGCCTGTTGCGCTCGATGAGGCGATCTAAACGCACCGGCATATATTTAATACATAAACTATATTTAAACTTTCGCAGCTATCGGCGTCTTTCACTTAAAAGTAGGTACATCACGCGATCTCTTTTCTTTTCTTGATTTTCCTATCTATTTAAGCGATCATAATTTCATAAATTCTTCATTTTAAATTAAATACGATGTGTGAAAAAGGATCGTACATTTATTATATCTTTCAGACAGCACGCATGTCCAAAATCAAGACATAAGACATCTTAAGGACGCTTTTAAGATGACTCAAGATGTCTAAAAGATATCCTAAATGACGTCCGATTTTGAACATGCTGTTCTCTGGGCGAAATGAAAAGAATTATCTTGATAAAGTACCTGAAAAAATTAAATATAGATCTGCAAATAATTTTGTTGAATTTGCAAAATAATTGTCTAAAATGCTTAAGCGTGATGATAATGCTGTAAAAAAATAAACATTTTTGCATCCAATTTATATGTCCTACACAAATTTTGATATTCCAAAAAATTATTTTCAGATCTACACCTAAATTTTTAGATACTTCAGCAAAACCATTATTTCCATGTATTCCTTATTTCTTTGTACAAATATTAATTTATTTATTTTCATACCGTTCTTCATATTTGAGATCGTTTTTGGAGCTTATCGTTCATTGTATAATTGTATGCGATATAATTTGCGGGTGAAACTAGCACGAATAGCTTGAGAAAGTACGCGATTACTGTCCGTTACAAATTAGGAAAACGCGATCATCGTATCGCTTGGCATAGAAAAACTACTTACCTATTAGGATTCTGATAATTACTGATTCTAATGAAAGAATTATTCTGTTGAATTATATGAATTATAACTGTTCATTTCCCATCAAATGTATCGCTTAATATATGTGAAACTCGAGAAGTGGGTCTTTAAGAATTTAAGGAAATAATTTTAATGCGAGATTGAGCGCTGCATAATAATATTTGAAATACCGTAATCGAAGATAAGCTATTCAATATATTTTTAATATACTTCGAACGATTGATCTCTC